TGATGATGGAGATGATGGAGATGATGGAGATGATGGAGATGACGACGACGATGAAACCGCCACAAATGATAATGTTATCATGACAGTTCTATATGACTTATTTGTCGCAGGGATCATTCCTGAACCTCACCCTCTCATGGAGAAAGGGCACCGAGAGTCGTCCGACAGAGGAGGGGGAGGCTGCTGACACGTTTCGATCGTGTTTACTTATCTACGGCTCTCCCTGGCTGATTGAGAACTGTGAATGTCTCAGCAGGTGAGCCCTTGTTTGATTTTTCCTGTTCCTGTCAAGCACAACATGTCTTTGAAGTGTATTTGCTCGAACAAGACGGTTTTTCAATTGTGATTCTCAACAAATAGACCTTTCTTATCAAATACAACATTCTCACACTGAGTGCAGTGGAGGAGTTTCAATGGCTGTTTGCGGTTTTGGTCAAGCAACGTGTCGAAGTTGCAGGATGGGGGGGATAGAGAAGGAGTTTCCAGCGTCGTGTGCTCTCTTCGTTAATCAGGGAGCGAAACTACTATTTAAGAGCTCTGTTGCCAAGTACTCAGCGTTTGGGTTGTACATGGACGGTGCAGGAAGGTCTGCAATGTTGTGAATATATGAAGTGCGTTGTCATGCGTGTTGTGCAGGTGTGTCGTTGGAGGAAGCGAATTCGTTTGCAACTTTCGAGGAAAGATCTGCATCGATCGCGCTTGTTTTCATGACAATTCCGCTTCTCTCAGGAGTGTGTTTGCGGGGAAACGCCAAGGTGGCCCTGTGGAGCAGCAGCATGAAACAAAACATGCAGAGCTCACTAAGAGTGTTTGCAAATGAGGTTTCATGTTGCTGTTTCTCCTCCGCTATGCTCTGAAGTACATCTTAGTATACAGACGTTGAGCTGGAAGACCTTGAGAGCACCGATGGGAAGCTGTGGGAGGACAACAACCGTCCTCGACGAGTAAGCCCATTGAGCTGAGATGTTCGACACAATCACGATCATGTACAGCTTGTTGAGAAGACTGTGAGATGGCAGCCGTGTGAAGAAGTGAAATCCTTGCTTGTCGACATGTATGCTCGCATGTCAGAGATGAGCGTTACTCCTCCCTGCCTCTCCCACTCCTCCACAGGTGAAGTTTTTGTCTGTTTGCTCGTTGCATTCACACAAATGATGATGATGATGATGATGATGATGATGATGATGATGATGATGATGATGATGATGATGATGATGATGATGATGATGATGATGATGATGATGATGGAGATGATGGAGATGATGATGATGATGATGATGATGGATGATGATGATGGAGATGATGATGGAGATGATGGAGACCATGAGGTTGATGATGATGATGCGAAGGTCTGAAGAAGGAGGAAGTGCTGGAGCTGTGCGACGAAGAGAGCATCGAAGAGATGAAGTGAGGAGTGACTTGCCTGGAGGGAACCTGCCATTGTCATCTTACTTGTCATCTTACTGCTTTTGATATACTCTGCTCTGCTCTGCTCTGCTCTGCTCTACCTTCCCTCTTCTCTCCTCTTATATTCTCATCTTACATTTTCTTGTCGCTCGTCTCCCGTGCTCTCCAATATCCTATTCTCCTTCTTGTCCAATCCTTTCTTGCCCTCCATCTGTCTCTTCGGAGCTATCTCCTCCTCTTGTTTTCCTTCAAAATTCTCTCCTTGCTCCATCCTTTCCTCTTACCTTCGTCACAGGAAAGCAGAGCAGGTACAACAATCTGAATACTTGCTCAACATCGGATTTGCGAGCAAGGATGCCACCGAACAAGCAAGACTGACAAAGATCATGAACAACTTTGCAAGACTCGATTCGCCCGACTCAGCGTCCTCGCACGTCTCGACAACTTCCTTGTCTGAAGACGAGCAAGGCGGGGTCGATCGTGGCAAGCGATCCCGTTCCAAGTCACTTTCACGCTCGAGGGAACGACCAAAGGTAGGAGGAGGAGTGAAGGAGGAGGAGGATTGAAAGTAAGAGGGAGGGAGGGAGGGAGGGAGGGAGGGGAGTGTAAGAGAGAATCGGAGAGACAGGAACAGATAGTAGGAAAGAGGGGCAGAGGACGGTGAGGAGGCAGGAGACAGGAGCAGGAGCAGGAGCAGGAGCAGGAGCAATATGATGGTGGTAACTGTTATTTCCAACAGTATGCGAGGACTGAACCGTCTCTCTCCGCTTCTCGCTTCCATCATCGAACATTTGGGCACGTTTCCTTGCCGAGCAGCAGCATCGAGAGGGAGCCGAGGAGTAGGAGGGAGGAGGAGCAGGAGGAGCAGGCAGGGAGGCGGTGGAGATTAGAGGAGGGGACATCTGGTGGAGGAGGAAGGAGCTCGAGCGTGCATGGGCAGGAGCGATACCTGCACAGCAGAGGAGAGGACAGAGGAAGAGGAGGGCGTGCTAGTGTGGGGAGAAGGGGGGGAGGTGGAAGAGGTGGAAGAGGTGGAGGTTGGGAAAGAGGAGTAAGGAGTTGGGAGGAAGAGGAGGTGGAACAGCGATCGTGGAGGAGACCAGAGGGCCCGCGCGACAGGAGAGGTCGAGACTACTACGGTTGGGAAGAGGAGAGGAGGACGAGCTGGAAGGGAGACGGTTGGGAGCAGAGTAGAGTAGAGGGCTGGGGCAGGAGAGAGGGAAGGATGGAGAGGGAGGACTGGGAACGGAGAAAGTACGGCGTCTGGGCAAGAAGGGATTGGGAACGGAGAAGGGAAGAGGAGGAAAGGGGAAGAAGGAGGGGGGATGGAGATTGGGAAGGGAGGAGGGAGGGGGAGGATGGAGAAAGGAGGGAAACTGCAGACCGAGGAAGGAGTGCGTTGGAGGAGGAGGAAGGGAGGAGCCGAAGACAGGAGGGCATCGGTCGAGCAGGAGGGCAGGGGGAGGAGGGACACGAGGATACTCTACAGCGGGCGGTCGGATAGAGGAGAAAGACGAGGGGAGGAGGAGGGCTGGAGTGAACAGCTGGTTTGGTGCAAGCGGAGAAGGGTGGAAAGAAGACATGGGCAGCATGCTGAAGGATGATGGGGGGAGGAGGAGGAGAATGACGGTGTCAGCTGAACAATACCCTTCCCTTGGCGCACGGAGAGATACTGAGGCTAACCTTTCGCAAGGAAGGGAGGGGAGGAGGGGAGGAGGGGAAGGGAGCTGGGAGGAGAGGAGGAGGGAGGGGAGGGGGGAAGGGGAGCTAGGCTCTGTTTCCTCCTCCCGTAGGTATCAGGAGGGAGCAAACAAAGCCCTCGTTGCTGTTTCGATGGAAAGATCCGCTCCCGAGTCAACAGCTTTCACTGGAGGAGAGGTGAGGAATGGAGGGGAATGGAGGCTGGAGGATGAATGGGGATGAGGAGGGGGTATGCGGCGACCATGAAGAGGAGGAGGAGGAGGAGGAGGAGGAGAAGGAGCAGGAGGAGCAGAAGGAGCAGGAGGAGGAGAAGGTGGAGAAGGTGGAGGTGGAGGAGGAGGAGGAGAAGAAGGCGGAGAAGGCGGAGGAGGAGGAGGAGAAGGCGGAGAAGGCGGAGGAGGAGGAGGAGGAGGAGGAGAAGGAGGAAGAGGAGGAGGAGGAGGCATTGGATGAAGAAGGGAATAGTGCAAGACACGAGATAATCAGAGATTTTCTTAGGAGAGGACCAACAGTTTTGACGACAACAGTCCATCCCTAGCCGTCACTGATCTCAAGGTTGTATGTGTGTTTTCTTGTCAGCTATCTTTGAAAGTTTCTGTTAACTGTGATGATGTTGCATCATCAAAAACTCATTGTGATCCGCAGAGATTGCACGAAGAGAATGAAGCGTTGAGGAAGCAGATTATGATCATCTCGGATGAAAAGCGACTTGTCCCGCAGAAAGTGAGTTTGCAAGCTTCAAAGTCTCCATGATTGCTTCACTCCCTTCCAACTGCATCTCAGGTTGTTGTCATTCCTTGCTGACATCTGTTGCAGTATGAGAGAAGTGAAGACGTTGAACCTGCCTTCGCACGATGGGAGGAAATTTACACACGAGATGGAAATCTTTGTTGCATGTGACATTTTTGTTTCTTCACTACAACAGGACGTTGTCGTCTCGTGGTCACGGAAGAAGTTTGATCTAGATGCTGCTATCAATCATTTTGCAGAGCTCGAGGCCGCAGGTTGGAATCGAGGAGGAGCAGGTTAAAACCAGATGACGGCAAGGCAGGAAAGAAAATCGGAAGCATATGGGAACACATCGTGAAGATGGTGTTGAGGGGAGAGGTAATGATTATCTGCTGTTGTTATGAGAAGAAATTTCTTGACATCCTGCTGTCTGCTCTGAACTGGCTTCTTGGTTGTCACTTTGACGTTTGTAACAGCTCAATCGGGGAAGATCGGAGGAGATGAAGAAAGAATTGATCAGTGCGGGTGAGTGAAGAGAGTTTCCAAAGCTCTCCTCAATTTTTTGTTCTCTTGTTCTGCTGTCTACGTCATTTTACAGCTGCTCACTTGTATGATGTTGTTCATATCCTGAGCGATCCACGACGTTGCTCAATCTTCAATACTTGCATTCTCCTTCTGACTGATGCTAAAGGAATTCCGCTCTTTGCTCAGAACAAACAACCCGAACAAGACACCTACGATATTGGAAAGTGCACAACACTTTCCAATATTAACGGTATCAGTTTCAGATTACATGTTCTCCAGGTGGACTCAACTAACAAACTGTGACAGGAGCAGGAGATGCTCTTGAAAGCGATGATGTGATACCGGCACGTGATGTACGTTTCAAACTTCTCCTCTGAGTCGTCACATGCATGCTGTTTCTTCTCTCAACATTATCTCCTCATATTCCATTCCTGTGTTTCCTTTCGCTCCATCATCTCCATCATGATATTCCCAGCCAGTTAGTATGCTCCATCTTGTCAACCTGATTATTTCTTTGATCACCTCATGCCTCCATTTTTTCTCATCGCATCTCCCCTGTTTGTCTTCCTGAATTTCTGACAGGAGCAAGCTTCAATGAGAGATCTGCGAAAGTTTGCAAACAACACGGACAAGCTTGTTCTCTACCCCACTGGTGAGAATGAAATCGCTCACCCCCCGCTTCCCTCCTCTCCTTTATCTGCTCGTATGTCTCCCCCTTCTCCACATCGTGCGTCATAATGCTGCAGCTCCTTTGCTGCTCCTGCTCCTGCTCTTGCCTCTTCCTCCTGCTGCTGCTGCTGCTCCTGCTTCTCCTCCTCCCACTGCCACCACTGATCCTCCCCTCCAGTCGAGCGTCTTCCTGGGGAGTCCCTAGCGGACAGGAAGAACGAGTACCTGAGAGAGGCGAGGAAGAAGCTGCTGTCAGCCTGCCATCCTACCCCTCCTAGCAACAAGGAGGTCCTGGAGCTGGCGATGAAGATGAAGGCGAAGTCAGATCAAGAGCGAGGGCTGTACTACCGGTGTGATCGGAGGATGTGTTGAATCCGCTGCTCTGCTCTGCTCTGCTCTGCTCTGCTCTGCTCTGCTCTGCTCTGCTCTGTCCTGTCCTGCCCTGCCCTGCCCTGCCCTGCCCTGCCCTGCTCTGCTCTGCTCTGCTCTGCTCTGCTCTGCTCTGCTCTGCTCTGCTCTGCTCTGCTCTGCTCTGCTCTTGTGCATTTTGCATTTATCTTCGTCTTCTCTTCTCTCCTCTTTCCTACTTTTCTTCCTTTGCACTTTTCTCGTCTTCTGCCACTTGCCTTTCCTGCTTGCCGGCATCAACGTGCAAGTGCACTTACAATTCAAACAGCAAAGTGGATGATCGCGATGACAACTACAAGCTTGACGACTATGAGCTCATGAAAGTAAGCAAACTGCCTCCTCCTCCTCGTTTTCCTCCTGCTTTGTTAACCTGACTGCAATTCCTTAGCGTTATCTCTACCAAAATCTCTTCAAAGATCGCTCCGGCGAGTATAACTTCTGAACACACCAATACAAAAAGCTTCTGAATATAATGAATCATGTGAAAAGAGCCCAGGCTAGGTCACATGCCCCCGTCTACGCCGGACAGTGCGCTCAACCCCCGCCGGGGGTATCAAGCCGCATGTCCAGCAGTTCGAAGGCAGCACGTAGTGCTGGCAGTGCCGAGCTGAGCTGAGCTGCCGGGCCCGCCGCAGGTTCAAGTTCGATGGCAGCCTTGGGCCAGTGGGCGCGCCGGGCAGCCAGCCGGGCACTGAGCCGGGCAGCCAGCGGGCAGCGAGCGAAAAGTAAGGGATGGCCCGCCCCCGCTTGTGTGTCATGGCATGGAAAGTGCTCGAAGCGAGGACGGGAAGAGAAGAGGGAGGAGGAGGAGGAGGAGGAGGAGGATGAGGAGCGGGGATTAGCAGACGGCACGTACCAGAGCATAGGTAGGAGAAACGCAGGAGCCAGAGCCTGGAAGGGCAAAGATGATAGAAGGGTTGGAAGAGGAGACGAGCAACATCACAATCTTGTGAAAAGATCACGATCTTGTGAATTTTTTGCTCGGCGATGATGAAAACTTCTTGCTGTGTATAACAACACCCCATGACATCTTTCAAGACAATGCAGGGACTGGTGGTTGGGAAGGTCCTGGAGTGTGAGAAGATTGCAAACAAGGACAAGCTCAAGAAGCTCGTGTGAGTGAAACCCGTCCTCCGTTCTCTGCGCTCTCGATCTTGCTCTTGCTGCAGCTCGTCCTGCGTGCTTCTGCTCTTTTGTTTGCTATCTTCTTCCCGCTGAAACATTTCATCAAGCACTTGTTGTCTTCACTCTCGCTTCTTCAATGCCCTAGATTGACATCAAAAGCACCTTCATCCGTGGTGTGTTAGCATCGTCTTCAGAATTGGGATTATACCAATCTCATTCATCATTTTCACCTTGTTTGATGTTATTACATTCCTTGATTGCCAGAAAACTACATCGAAACGTCTTAAACTTTCTTGCAGGGTTGATATCGGGGGAGACGAACAAATCCAGGTCGTCACGAACGCGCCCAACGTAGTTGAGGGGTCCAACGTAATCGTTGCAACTATTGGATCAAAGGTTAGTCGGAATGCTTTGATGGATGCTCGCAATTAGAAATTGTACGTTTCTTATGCGTTTCTTTCCTGTGTATTGTACATGATCATCTTTCTTCTGTGGTTGTTTCACACGCGTTTGCCTGATCGTCAGCTATTTTCGTGTACAGTCTACCATGTTCGAACTACCATGATTTAGATCCTGCTCTTGTAATCCTTCAATCTCTCTAGGTTCAACTTGACGGCGAGGACGTGGAGGTCAAGGAGGCGACGGTGGGAGGAGAGAAGAGTCAGGGTATGCTGTGTAAGTCTGAACCTGCTTCACGCTTGCATCCTGCCGCACCTGAGAGGCTTGTCGATCCTCAGGTGACTCCGTCATGCTAGGATGGTCAGGTGAAGGGAACGTGGAGGAGGAGGAGAAATCCTGAGAAATGGGCAGGAGGAGGAGCAGGGAATGCGGCACTGGTGCCAGACACCTTCAGTCCAGGTAGCAAGATCATGGGAAACGAATCAATGACTCATGCTGTTCTGTTTTTGTCCGATTGTTTTCCTTCCTCTGTCTGCCCTGCCTTGATCCTGCTTCCTTCCCGTCCCGTCTCCTGTCCTGCCCTGCTCTGCCTGGTCCTCCCTCCTCTCCCCTCCTCTCCCCTCCTCTCCCCTCCCCTCCTCTTCCCTGCTCTCTCCTTCTCTTTCCGCTCCTTGTTCAGGGGACGCTCCCCCGGAAAAGCGACCAAGGATGGACGGCAAGGTTTTCTTTCCCCACTCTCTTGTTCTTTTAATCCTTGTTCCCTTCTTCATCTCACTTTCCTCCTCCTCCTCCCTCTCTCCTCCTCCTCCTCCTCCTCCTCCTCCTCCTCCTCCTCCTTCTCCTTCTTCTTGAAGCATCCTCTGCTTTCTCTGCCTCTTGTTTCTATATGCCATTCTTCATCTTGTTTGCTTGACGTTAGGGTGCGAGCAGACGACTGAGTCGGTGGAGGAGGAGGCAGCTCCCCTGAGTGCCAAGGAAAAGAGAAAGGCAGCAAAAGAAGCAAAGAAGGCGGCAAAAGGTTTCTCCTTGAAACCTTTTGAATGACGATTAGTATGAGAAAAAAGGGAAGGAGGAGAAAGAGAGAAGGAAGGAGGATGGATGTGATGATGATGATGATGATGATGATGACGACCACGACGTTGATGATGATGACGATGATGGATGATGATGATGACGGTGGTGGAGATGATGATGATGATGATGGAGATGAAGTTGTTGTTGTTGTTTGCTGTCGATGATGGTGGTGATAGTGATGGTGATGATGGAGATGATGAGGATGAGGATGAGGATGGGTTATTGTGTTGTTCCTTCTCAGCTGCATGCGGCTGTTATTTGTGTAGACGCTTTTTTTGTGCTATCTCCTCGAATTGTCCTAAAATGCCTCAAGTTGCTTCGGTGAATGACTTTGATGTCCAGGATCTGATTGAGCTCACACTGCAAAAGATAGACATGTTTACATCATTTTCTCCATATCTTCACTCTCTCCGGTGATACTCAGGATTGAAGGAACATTCTTCTGCGATCTCACATCTTTTTGTTTAATCACAATGATTGAATACAAGTTGTCAGTCGAAGATTTCTGATTTTTCCCTTCTCAGCCTTTCATGGCTTGTCCCACCGAGTCTCTCCCGTCTGTGTGTTCCTGCGACAAATTTAGTCATGAGCATAAACTAGCTCACTGCAGCGGTGCGAAGGGCAGGAAGAGGAGGGAGGGAGTGGAGGACAGTGGGAGAGGAGGGAGGGAGTGGAGGAGGGAAATGAATGTGTGTGTGTTGGGGGGGGGGGGTTGGGAGGGGGGAAGGGGTGGAGGGGAGGAGGAAGAGGAGAAGAGAGGGAAAGGAGGACGGACAGGGATGAGGATGGAAAGAGAGAAGTGAAAGAGGGTGATAGAGTAACAGGAAGGATGTAAGCAGATCGAAGGAGAAAAAGATGTAGAGAAGAGAGGGAAGAAGCGAAGGAGCTACAGCGAAAGCACTGAAGCATTCAACAGGCCCTTACCAGTAATACGGCTTCCCGCTTGCCTGGTCCATCACCTCCTGCCATCCAGCCGGTAGCTCCTCCTGCTCCTTCCTTGCTCCCTCAACTGCCTGCGTCGCTCCAAGAGGAGAGCTCTCCTTATTTCCTCCGAACAACCCTCCCAAGAATCCTCCCAGCCCTGCCATGGGGTTTGCAGGCTGACTATCGTCCACCCATCCCTCGTCAACGTAGTCACCCTCCACGTCTACGTACGACTTGAAGAAATCCTGCGGTACACAGTGAGGATGCGAAGGAGTAGTAGAGGGACGTGGGTGGAGGAAGAGGAGGAGGAGGAGGAGGAGGAGGAGGAGTTGCAGCTGTTGTAACAGAAGTTGCAGCAGCAGCAGAAGCAAGAGGAGGAGGAGAACGAGCAGAACAACAGAGGGCAGCATCTTACCCCTGAGGATCCTGTTGCAGCCCTTCTTGCGAATGCCGCGTCAAGCATGCTCAAGGCCTGCTTGACCGTCTTTCCCTGCTCCAGGATCTTTACTGCATCCTCCTGGGACATTCCCTCCTCCACAAGTCTCGCCACATCCTCTGGGTTTGCCTGCGCTCTCAGCATGCATCGAGAACCACGAGAAGCGACAGTTCTGGAGGGATTGAAGAGAGAGGAGGGGGGGGGGGGCGGTCCTGGTAAGAGAAATGTCGGTCAGTCGAACGAACCGAGCCTTGTCGACTCTACAATGATGTCCTCGTCTTGTACGCAACATGGAGGGAAACGAGAAAAAGAGAAATGGATGGAAGTAGAAATGAGAGAGGAAGGATGAATCAGCACAAAGAAGATGGCATAATAGAAAGGGAAGGAGAACGCGCGACAGTACAAGGGATTGCCAGGGTGGGTTTGACCCGGATAGAAGGAGGGCATGCCGTCTATATAGTGAGGATGCTGCAGTTTCGCTGCCTCACCTTTCAAGCTGATTGAGCTCAGTGAGCTAAGCGTGAACGACATGCTCGGAATGGCCAGCGCTGCCATCGCTGCCATGCGCACAAGACTCCGGGCACCTGCCATTTCGGCCCCCTGCAAGGATATACCCACCCCAATGTATCGGGGTACTTATGGTCAGACGGAGGGGTATCACATACCTAAAGCAAAGTTCATTCTGTAAAAATGTTGAGAACGAAAACTCAATGCATGAAGGAAGTTGACCGGAAGAGCATAATGTGAAGGTTGCGTGCGAGCGTGATAGGTTTGATCAAGGATATGTTGAGACTTGTCTTGCAAGACACGATGGACGTCAAGTTATAGGATTGTTTGAAACGATGAACTCAACAAGATCGAGACAAGATGATTCAAGGACTGCTTGGAAGGCGGATTGAACTCGACAGAGCAAGTCATTCTCGGTTGTGAGCTGCGTTGAATGATATGGAACATTATAATATTCTAGCCCATGTTCGTGCTCTAATGATCAATGCGGTTTGATCATGCAACAAGGCCTTGAAGAAGCAATACCTAAGACAGTCATTCATGGATTCTTGACAGCAAGAAAGCAAGGTATATCAGGAACTTTGACCACAGTATTATGTTCAGTCCAATTCATTGCAAACCATTATCAAACATAAGATGAATATATACATGGTACAAATGCTGAAGTCCAGAAAAAAATACCCCCCCCCTACATCGCGTCTCTTCGTTGGCGCAAGTTTCTACATATCGCCACCACTCCTCACTCTCTTAACAACACACTCCACGTTGTGGTCCGACTGATATGAAGGACAAGAAGGTATTCTCTGGAAAGCGAACCCAGGCTCCTTCCCATGCTCGATCTCCTCCAGTGTCGCATCGTAGACCGCAAAGTTCCTTGCGATGATGCTGGCATAGTACCTGCTACCGCTGCTGCTCCGGTGCAGGTGGCTCTTGGCAACGTAACGCGAGGTACCGGAAGAGAAGCTGCTCGTTGGGGAGCGACGCTCGGGCGAGACAGAGGTTTCCCTCGTTCTATGCATCTCGACGGCTGGAACTTGTCTTCTTGTCCTTTTCTGCTCCAGCACAAGCTCTTCCAGGATTGTTGTGCTATGAACTTTCGATTGAATGGGAGCGAACTCAACGTGCTTTGGAGAGCTGTCGCCGATCTTGGGGGATAAAGCCGTCGAAGGAGATGGAGGATTCAACGCTGATTTTCTCTTTGTTGTCTTCTTCTTGATCACTATTCCGAAGAGAAGAGATGAGAAGAGCAAGAGAATCGAAGCAGGTAGCAAGAGATCATTTATCATGGCTCCGTGGCGTATCGTCATTTGCAGCTATCAACCTCCAACTACGCACTCAGGGTTCTTACAAATAGGAACGGTTCCTTCCAATATCTGTGTGCAGTAGCAGGAGACAGGAAGGGAGGGAGGAGCTACGAAGAAGAGAACAAACAAGAGTAGGTGAGCTAGGTCGGGAACAGAGGACGAAGGACTGCAGTAGCGAAAGGGGGACGAACGTGGGGCGATTGAGTTTCGGAAGGAGGTAAATCTATCGAAGAAAATGATATGATCAAAAGTGGGGGTGGGGGTGGTGAGTATCCGGAATTAGGGGGTGAGGTACAGATATCCCAAAGCTTGGAGCTCTATCTATTCGTACAAGATTTTGAACTTTGCAAATAATTTTACAAATTAATCAGCATGTCTTGTGGATATCTCTCAAGTTGTTTCAAAATCTCATATGGGTCTAAGGACACGCTTAAGCGGAAGAGGTGGTTGATCATTTGCTGGGGTGGTATCGGCAGGTGGTAGGGTACAAGTCTCAAAAATGGTGGTAGGGTGGTATTCGTGAGGCCGATATCCCCTCTTTGCTGACTGGAACGCGACATAGTATATCTATATATGAACCTTTTGACCGAAAACATTTGTACCAGAGTTACTTCATTGTTATATATATAATCTGTGAACAGATGTATTTTCGATAATATTATAAATAAAATGAGATTACCCTGCATTCCACCTTTGATAGTACCCGTAGACGAACTCATCGTATCTCTTTCCTCGTGACCTTGTAGATATGAAAAAGAATGTTTTCGAATCTTCAAATCACAGGCAGTCATATGAAGCCCAGCCAAAGGGTCACAAGGGGCAGAAATGAAGAAATACTCCAGATAATAGTGATCAATTTTGATGCCTTTCTATTCTTCTGAATTACCCCTCCCTTCTATATGAAAATAAAGGGTCTGTTGGAAACGGAGGTGGTCAATTGGAAAGGACCTAACTGAGGCGGACTGGATATGAGGTTCAAAAATAAAGATTACAAAAAATCCCATTAAAGCGAATCACGTACCGTCAAAGGTAACGTGACCATAGTTTCCCCCTTCGGACATCACGGTAAAGCGAGACCGACTGCGGCAGGGAACCAACACGGACCATCGGAACGGTCCGATCCTTTGAACCTCAGAGGCTGGTCGGACATACAACGGCTTCCGGAGTCCGACGACCGTCAGCCGAAAACTTTGATTGCAAACTTCGGGCCCGGGCCGAGAGCCTCCCGTGACCTCGGCGCCGCGGCCCCCGACTCGGCGGCCCGGATCCGATCACAGAGTCCCGATCATTGGTGTCGGACCGTCCGATCCGGTCGGCCGCGGCCCGGGCCGTGCGGCCGCCGCCGGTCCGGGCGGGGGGCGTTGCCCGGCCAACTCACGGTTTACTATCACCGTCACAGCCTGCAGGCTGACCGTGACTCTCAGTGATTCACGGTCCGGTCTGCGGCGCCGGAGCCGCCTGGAGTCCGATCGGAGTGCGGCTGGCTGAGCCGTCGCCGCGGGCCGGGGCCGGGCGGCCTGAGTGACTCGTCACGGCAGTGAGTCGCGCTGCCGCAAGCGGCCGCCGTCGCCGTGTGCTGGGCTGGCACAGTCCGATCGGACGGTCGGACGGTCACGCGGCGGCGGCCCGCGCGGCCAACTCACTGTCAGGCCCGATACCGGGCCCGGCCGCCGAGTCGGAGCCCGGGCCGTGTTCATTCACCACTGAAGTAGACTCAGGCCTTTGCGCCGCCGTACGGTCACTGTCCCTGTCGGCCCACCTCCGATTGAATGACAGTGAATGGAGTTTCCGGTCTCATCATGAGTCTGGCCCACTGGCCCACTGCCAAGCCTCAACGGTTCACCGTTGCCTGCGCCTCGGCGGGGCTGGAAGCTGACTTGAAGTAAATCAGTAGAAGTTTGGAAGCTCCTTTCATGTTACGGTGTTCTATTGCCCCAGACGTCAAGTCACTAGTAAATCGCACCAAGTTTTCTTCATTTTCCACCATATTCTCTTTAGGAGAAACGTCCGATGGCTTCCCACCAATGAGCATCAACTAAAAGGCTCTTTACTCGTACTGATCATCCTCCTTCTCTCTGCAAGTTATCTTTTGAAAGCTTGCGCCGACTGACGGCACCACGACTCGTGTACAGCAAACAGTGAGCGGCTGCTGCTTCACGGCAGCTCGTGCCGGATGACTCGGGAAAAAGCTCTCGGAGATCGGATGATCGTCAGGCCCTGTGCGACGAAAGCTGCCCCAGATCGTAGCCCGGGCTGTACTACTCAGTCGGCCCGGGCCGCCGCGGCTCACGGCGACGGGGCCCAGTGGCTGGCCAGAAGAATTGCACGAGCTTTTATGAAAGACTACTGAGGCTGAAGACAATGATTGATCCTCAGGATTTTGAGCATGCTTCATGCACCGCACATGGTTCTACTAATCAGCATTGCTAGTTCATTCGTGTTGCGAATGCCACAGCTCTCTCTACACAAGACACAAAAATACATCTACACACTATACAACATCTCTACTGCAACCCAAATCTAAACACGAAGAGAAGCTGCTTCCCTGTTGATCTCCTTGGTACTGCAATTATGACCGCTCGCGTGCCTGACAGAGAAGAGAGCGCATATGCTGCGCGCGGTGTCCGAGCTCTGATTCATGGCAGTCAACAACCTAGCTCTCTTTGCTGCTCGCTCTGCTTCGTCACAATCCTGAAACAAGGGTCAGAATAAAGCAGGAACAGCAAGCGTTGTCGAGAGATCAGCTTCCAAGTGAAGGGATAGTATCGACAAGACATGTGAGGTGACAAGGTTTGGTAAACAAACAACGAAATAACAGGCCACAACGAGTTTTCACCTGATCATCTGAAACGCTTCTCCTCTTTCCACAGGGGCTTGGAGGTGAGCAAGCATCGAAGGAGAGGGGGCGTTTGTACTGCGAGAGGACCGTTATCTTGAGCACTCTTCCAGGATACGTCCTGATGATCGCCTGCATCTTATTGTTCGAGCTCTGCGAAAGATTCTGCATGCGGCCGCCACAAACAGCCCCGATATGCAATTTATCAAGCAAGTTCCAGATGTCGGAGAAGAAATTCAGAGTTGTCTCGCGAAGCTGTTGCTACACGTCTTCTTCACAATGGGGTTGCAAGCTTACGACTGTTGGTCTAACCTATGTAGAGCCTTCAACAATCCAGCGATGCCGTGCTAATCAATGAGGTTGGACTTTAGTTTCTTCCTGTAGCCTCGCTCTGGTTGATGATTCCTAGTGCTTTCCAACAGCCTTGAGCTCAGCTTACACCAAAGAAATAAGGCTCCGAAGATGCTGAGTCGCAATGCACGACCGGGCAGCTAACAGCCGGAGATAGTATGGACGAGGAAGCGGTAGACGCGAAAGCTACTCTGCACTGATAAGAGGAGTCAGAGAAGTGTGAAGAGATAAGGAAAGGAAGGTAGCCGCGAGCACTGGGGGAGGAGGAGGACGGGAAGCGGGTGTTGAAGGAGCGGAAAGGAGCGGCCGGACCAAGACAAAGTTGGCCCCCTTGCCTAGTTACCACCCCAACCCTCCTTCGGTCAACCCCCACCCCCTCTTTTCCCTACTTGCACCCCACGGATTGACCCTGTAAAATGGGTAACTCCCTCCGGTCAAAAATCTGTACCTCATGTCGAGCCAAGACTCCTGACCCCTACCCCCTATTCATCCTTTCTGTACCCCACCTTTGGTCACTCTTTACCACCCCATTCCATGGACCATCCTGGTACCGCAAATCCGTGTGAAATTGATAAGTAAAACTTATCTGGTACCATTATCTGATGTACCCCCACCGTGCCTCTGGACCGCCTTTTCACTGTCTTTGGGAAGGGACACATTTCCATGACCAGGGGTCTGATGGAGTCGTTGACCAGGGGTACGATAGAGGCGCTCAGGGACTGAAAGTAACTTTCACCGGGTACTTTTCCAGTAAAAGAACGGGTACACTTCAACATGGACCCCACCTCCGATAAATTGTGACCATCGCCGTTTTCCGATAGTGCTCATAAGAACTACCCCACCCCTAGTTTTACCTGCGAATAGCCACAGCCCTTGAGAACGAGGGGGGCAGGCCCAAGGCCTTTGTTCATTTACGGTAGGGTGGGGTCTTTTCCGGGGTAAAATTTAGGGAAACAAGGGGTACTATTCATACTGGAAGTACAACCCCGAAGTTGACTGCCCATGGGTTCAGAGAGTCGGAAAGGGGGTTCATACCAGCATTCACGAGGAGGGTAGGGTACTGCTTTCCTTTGCAGGAAGTGGTGTAGTAAAGTCATGATTGAGGTTTCCCGCGCAAAAGATCGCAAGGAGGGGGTAGGGTCCTGAGAAACGGAATCGGTTCAGTAGATGTACGGTAACAGAAATGTATGGGTGGTAGGTCCATTTCTTGTGTGAATGATGGTAATATCCGACCTCCTTTACAGCACAGAGGGGTAGGGTGGTACCCTGCAGCATGGGTGGCTGAACATGGGAAATTGGGGAGTATATTGCAACAGGGGACGATCGAGGGTGGGTAGGACAATTGGGAAGACAATTGCGAAAATAGCGTCACAACCGACAAAAGTTTTTGTGCTACCGTACAAATCCCTGGAAATTGGAGGGGTACATGCAGAGGCGTATCTTGTTACGACTGGAAAAGAGATGGAACGTTGTGAACCAATGACTCTTCACAAGAGACTGTAATGGAAAAGAGAACGCTTCATTTAGATATATGACGAGGAGGTCAGCAATTGAAGTTTGAAACCATACAAGCTCATGACCCCCGCGAGTCCAGATTTGAAAGGAACTTTTCAAATATTCCAGCAGACTTTGAAATATCTGTGAACCTTATCACGATTTATTTTTATTCCGTTTTCTGAGGGCAATTTGCTATTTTTGTAATCGTTTGTATAGCAAACATGGCAGATCAGTGCAAACGAAAGTTGAGCCGCAGTAGTGTGTGCTGTTTGTTTGGTTCGTCTTGATCCGACCAGAGATACGCTAACACCATCAAGTTTACTCTATAGAACGTCTCTCAATAACACAGGGGGGGGGGGGTGGAGGAAAGGAGATTCTGGAACACAACTCTGTGTTAGTTCGAAGTGCTTTCTACTTTCATGAAAGCTAGTGCCGGAAACCGTTCTTTGCCAAACTTGCAATCGACAGTGCCGGAAATGCTCAGGATTCCAAGGATCGAAGCAAAACAGATGGAGACAAGTTGGGAAGAGGGGGTGGCGACGTAGGAAAAGTGGGTGGATACTTGCGACCTGGGTTAGAAGGTGACTCAGTGAGAGGGAACTGAATCCGTCTTGTAAAGTGTTCAGTTTCAAAGCTTCCAAAGTCCCTGCTCCCTAGTTTAATAAGAAATTTCAACCCGTGTATTCCAGCTGTCAAGTGGCTTCCTCTCATGTTGAGAGAGTTCCATCGCTGAATTGCTCAAACGATTGCCTTCCAATGTAAGCAATTTTCTGATAAATGTTCAACTTGGCAAGCCATGCCATCTGATACGCCTTCAATTCAACGTACGCACTGCCGCAAAGACTGCGGTCCGTCATCGTTGTCTTTTTCAGATCATTCATTATACTCTCATCCACCAAAAGCAACGCATCACGACCCCTGAGTCTGTCCTTCTCCATGCCCAGCGGTTCCCGAAGTTCTATGTGCCCGTTTTCTGGAGTCGCCAGCCCGGGCCGGCGGTGGCGCCCCGGCGGGGGCCGTATCACTGAGATTGTTGCTAGTGACACCCGGATTCAACTTGAAACTTTGCAACTACAAGATTCAAGCCTCAAACTTTGCAACTTTTTGCAATCTGGTATATTATAATTATAGAAGTGTTTTTGAACAGGCTGGCTAAAAACCAGTTTTATATGAAGGGTTTGGTTTTGAAAACTGGTCATACCGTCGGGTAGAGAGTTTTGGGAAATCATCATGAAATATTCCGAATATTGCTGTTTTATTTGAAATATATCGATTGATGTTTTTCAACTTTGTTTTGACTTGCCCTTACACCAGGTAGAATCTGTGACTGGGATCTTGTTGCGGGGTACTGTGAACACCACCCTACCCTACCTTACCAAAGGAATTTAGAGAGACAACTACCTTGTCAGCAGGCAAACACCCACCCCTTTCAACATCATATCCTCTAAAAACCGCGCCGAACATTGATCCTCTATGGGGTGTAACAACGTACCCTAGATGTACCGGTACCTCTGCATGAGCATTCAAGAGTGTGCGTGCAGAATTTCTCAAAGCAATATGCATGGATCAAATCAATTGAAGAAGAAATAAGAAATCTCTCCTGTACTCTACTATACCTTAGACTTGGTACCTATCGCTCTCAAACCACCTTTACCCCCAATTCTTCTACACCTCGTTCCATTGCGGCCCATGATACCCCCACCCTTGTTTCCTCTGTACACTGCAGGGGTCCTGAGATAAGACGGGGTGGCCAACTTCTGTCCTTACATCTGATCTTGGAATTCGTAACACTTTATTTTCACAACGTTTCAGAAGTATTTAAGCACGGAGATGCGTTATTGTGTCCCTTGATATTGTAGTAAAAACTGAAATAAAGGTTTTTCGGAAAGTCCTATTGTACCGGAGGACTACCCCGGAGGGACAGTCTGATCCTTCGATTTCTGACCCATGCCTACCCTACGTTCCTTCTTCCACCACCCACCCCTCGCAAGTCGAGGTTTCAGTATTGGTACCTGGTGGTCTTATTGGTCAAATCTGTTAAACTTCAATGGTACCGGTGGTTTTGACACCCTACCCCCCATCCGACACTCCTTTACATGGCTACTTTGCAGTAATTTCGACTGTTTGTTGGACCCCACCCTACACTAACCTACCTTCCTTTTTTGGGTCCCCCCACCCGCTAAACTACAGGACGGAAGCCGGCGGCCGCATGGCGAACAGTACTTAAACAGAGCGAGAGAGACGGGAACGGGACGCGAGCAAAAGATTGTTCATTGTGTACACACTCAAACAACATTCGAAACTCTTGTCCGCACTTGGTACCTGGTAGCTGGTAGAATATCGCTCGTTCCAGCGATCAAAAGTTTCTTGCTACTCTAAAAGCGGCCCCCGTGCTCTTGGTCCAAAGGAAGCTCAGGTGTGGACCGATAGAGCAGCAGTCTTGGTGAAGGTACTTTGTCGTTTGGACGGAGGGAAGAACAGCAAGCTTTCAATTGATACACGTGGTCGTCTGATCTGCGAGTGCTGATAGTTCCATCCAACATGTCAACACCTCCACACCAAGGTACATCGGGGCACCTTCAAGCAATCATTCGGACTTTTCCAGGGAGAGTGCTTCAAGTGACTGTGTTGTCTTCGCACTCCAAGAGATCGTCTTCTTTCGACTCCTGCGTCCCTGAACCATGTGCCAAGAAGGCCAGGATTTCGTCTAGCACCATGGTAAGCTCATAATTGGTTTCTCGGATTGTCGCTGGAGTACCCACGTGTGCTATGATGTTGCATGTCTTCACGTAGCTGGTTGTCTCTTCTGTTTCTTCCTGCCTGCTCTTGTTTCTTTTCTCGCTCGATTCTTGCTCCCCATCTTTGCACCACCTTGTGTTTAGACAGTGCTCCTGTTGCCCTTGGTCTGTTTTGACAAGGCATGCAGGGGTCAGTCGCTAATGGGCTAGGGAGAGAAAAGCTTCTGACAGCTCTGGGTCACGACAAAGAGACAGCAAAGACTATATCGGCTCTCTTGGCGAAGAGCATGGACAAGATGGGGGTTGGAAGGGCGGGCAAGGAAGGCAAGGGAGAGGGTAGCAAAGAGTTGAAGGTTTCAAGGTTGCAAGAGGACGGGAGGATGAAGGGTTGTATTGTTTGAAATCTAGGAGGGAGAAGGGGTGGAAGATCCTTCTTTGTGGTGTTTGTCAATATTTCGTTATTCTTTTTTCTTAATAATAGGAGATCGTTTCGAGCCAGAAGGCTGGATGATTGTGTGGGCTAGAAGGAGAACAAGGGACTCATTACATCTCAGCCATGGTTTATGTACACATTGATTTTACAAGTCTAACCATCATGCATGGAAAGTTGAATATCTGCAGCTTGAGAAGCAGCACACACTGATAGATCAGCGATGCAGCTGAACATTGCACTTCATGTGCTGGGCTTGTCCTGATCGCATCGGATGACAACAACGCTTGTCAGTTGCGAGCTCTCCTTCTTCGCTCTCAGAGTCCAGTAGCTCCTCGAGACAGACTCTGCCGGCCAGCCTTGCATGACCTCGTCCTCCTCCACAACCTCCCCGCTCAGTATCAGCGTGTGCTCGAGCAGCATGCTTCCTCGCATCATCCCTGAGCCGGAGAGCAGGCGGGTGTTTGCTCGCAGGGTGCAACCCTGGCCAACGTGCACGCGATTCAGAGAGAACTCTCCTCTGCTGTTGAGATGCCCTATCAGTGAAGCGTTGTCCACCGCCGCCCCGTCCTCGATGTCCACCAGCTCCGGTTCGGTCATCATAGGGTCAGCTCCAAGAGGATACAGGCAGACCCTGCTGCCGATGTTGCTGCCATGGAGTCGGAAGAACCAAACGAGGTAGGCAGAGCCCTGGAGGTAGGAAGGAATCGCACGACCGTTGTAGGCAGAGCGGAGGATCGAGGTCGAGCTGAGGTACACTTGCCACCACTGACAGTAGGAGGAGGCGTCCCAGTTGTAGCTCCCGACCTTTCTTCTCCCCAAGAAGATCCACTTGAACGAGACTGCAAGCAGGAGCGCGGTGATCGATGCAATTCCTTGTGTGCCCACGTAGATTGGGACGAGCCTGGCGGCCATCGTGATAAAGTAGAGGTGAGGGTGGTGGCCCCCGTACTGTCCTTGATGATTTCCAGTCTGCTGCACGTTGTTCCCTCCTCCTCCTTGGCCTGACTGGTAGTTGCCTGTCTGCTGTCCTCCTCCTCCTCCTCCTCCTCCTGCGGCCAGGTACTCCGCGTGCATCCATGCGAACGCAAGCTTGAACGCTGCAACGATGATCATGGAGCGGAAGCATGCGGTCAGGGCAGCACTGAGGCAGCCAATGGCTGCATGTGCCCATTCCGGGAGGAGCAAGTAGGGGGCGTTGTTGAGGTAGAAGGCATTGCCGAAGGGACGGAGGGTGGGGGCACTTGCTGTCTCCTCGTTGCCGTCCTCCAGCTTGATCGGCCTGCCGTCTCTGCTTCCTACCCACTTTGACCCAGCAGGAAGCAGCATGTCCTCGCACGCTATCCCCCCCGACCCCAGCACGGCGTTTCTGCCGACAACACAGCCAGGAAGCAAGACGCATCTGTCTCCGATGTTCGCGCCATCCTCTATCCTGATCGTCTTAGCGCAGTGAGCATGGCACGCCATGAAATTTGATCTGCTCCCAAACACAACGTCGTCTCCGACATGCAGCAAGTCGTACTCCACCAACCCCTCCAGCCCGCTGCCCGGCCAGTAGACTCGCTCTCCTACCTTGGCACCGAGGAGGCGCAGGACCCAGGACATGGCGGAGTAGTGGGAGCCAACGAGCTGCCCGAGAGTCTGAAGTCTCTCGCCAGGAAGGAGCTCGCGCATGAGCCAGTGGCGGAAGATGCTGTACTCGGAGGCATCCCTATCGTCCTCCTCGGTAAACCGTCCTATCACCGTCCACTTGACCAGGAGGACGAGGAAGAAGCGGAGGAACGGGATGACTGTAGCTCGAACGATCCTGATGGCAACGTAGTAGCCGATCCTCCCGGGAGTGAGGAACCACATGATAGCCTGGTAGTAGTTGTGCACATGCGAATGGTACCATGAGTGTCGCACCATGGCGACGAGGATTCCGAAGATTGGGAGGGCGCATGCAAGAGCGATTAGGAACTTGATGAGCAGCCCTGCCAGGTACCAGCCCATGCTCGGCCCTCGCGCCCTTGCCCTGCAGTACTTGGCGTTGTCACTCCCTACCCAGTTGCTGCTGATCTCGTAGGAGGAGGAGGAGGGCGGGAAACAGCAGCCGTCGGGCACAGGGATGCCGGGGACTAGTGACACGCGGACGGGGACTGAGACGCTGTTTCCGAGGAGGAGGGGTGCGAGTACCATGCTGCCGTTGTCCAGGCAGAAGGCTCGCAGAGAAGTCTTGTCGATGCACGAGTCGGAGCCGATGCTGATCTGCGAGGAGAATGAGAAGAGGGAGAGAGGGAGGGAGGAAAAGAAACAGAATAGTGACTGAGCAGCAGCAGGCAATTACGGTCAGGAAGGAGGAGGAGAAGGAGAAAGAGGAAGACAAGGAGAACGACAAGAAGGAGGAGAAGGAGGAGGAGGAGAACGAGGAGGAGGAGGAGGAGGAGAACGAGGAGGAGGAGGAGGAGGAGGAGGAGGAGCAAGAGGAGGAGAACGAAGAGGAGGAGGAGGACACTTACAAGGTCAAACTCTCCCATCTTGGCCTGATTGCTGATGATAACATTGCTCCCTATCTTAGCCCCCAGCATCCTGTAGTACCAGCGGAGGGAGGAGGAGGTGGCGTTGAAGACGCCAATACCGCAAATGCTGTGCATCTGATCCACAAGCCACCAGCGCAGGTAGTACTGATCTTGTGTCAGCGAGAGATTCAAGGGCGGAGAGAGGAAGAGGAGGAAGAGGGGGAAGAGAAAGAGAACCAGTGACAGAAACAGAACAGAAAGAGAAAGAGAGGAGAAAGAGAATATTGGGGGATGCAGGGAGGGAGGGAGGGAGGGAGGGAGGGAGGGAGGAAAAAAGTAACAGAAGAGAAGGAAGAGGAGGAGGAGGAGGAGGAGGAGGAGGAAGAGGAGGAGGAGGAGAAGGAGGAGGTATTACCTGTCCCCAGAGCGGGTACCTTCCCTTCTTGTACCTGCCTATGATGGTCCACTTGAAGAGGATGAAGACGATGGGAAGGACGATGGAGGAGGCGATCTGAGTGAGGAGGATCGCGATGATGAGTGTGTAGAGCCTCGGGACCCCAAGGGTCTGGAACTCAAACCAGAGGAAGACGAAAAAGAGCCAGACGGCAATGCGCTGGAGGGGATGGAGGAGGAAGAGGGGGAGGGCCTGGAGCAGCAGAGCTGAGAAGCTTGTGGAAGAGAAGGGAGGGCAGCGATCTTGGTCGAGGCTCTTGAATGATGCTGATCCTCCCTGCTCCATTACGATGCCCTTGCAGCTTCCTCCTGCCTGAGACCCGTAGGTGAAGGAGGAGGAGAGAGACGGAGCTGTCAGTTCCTCCTTCGCCTGCTCCAGCGCAAGCCTGTCCGCCAGCGCTGCCAGTGCCTCTATCGTCCTGTGCATGAAGACGGAGGAGGCGGGCAGGGAGACTTGAAGGCTCTTCCTGATCTTAGATGCCATCCTTCCCGCGAGCAGCGAGCTTCCTCCGCTCTCGAAGAAGTCTTCATCCACTGCCACCTGCCTCCCAAGCAGTTCCTCCCAGATGCTCTGAATCTTCTCCTCGCTTATCGACTTTGGTGCCTTCCCCTCCCGACATGCCGAGCAGCCAGCCAGCAGGCTCGTCCTGTCCAGTGGGATCGTATCCACAGCAAGGATCTCCTTGGGGAGGAGGTATGCGTGCAGTCTCAACTTCAGCTTCTCCTGCAGCACGTCGATGATGACGGAAGAGGGGGAGACGAAGAGGAAGCGGGACCGGTACCCGTCCCTTCTAAGTGCCTCGTCGTGTACGATAGCAAAGTCTTCTACCCCGACCTCTGACTTGATGGAGTCGAGGACGCGCTCCACCTGCTCTTACGATAAGAAGATGCTACCTTCACCTGCTCCCCGCCTCTCCACTCTCGTCTCCTGCTTCCTCCTTGGCCCCCATAGCTCGTCCTCCCTCCCTCCCTCCCTCCCTCGCTCCCTCCCTCCCTCCCTCCCTCCCTCCCTCCCTCGCTCCCTCCCTCCCTCCCTCCTTTTCCTCCCCTCCCCTCCCCTCCTTTTCCTCCCTCCCTCCCTCCCTCTCACCTTCTCGTCGTCACATGGCACAGCTCGCATTGGGATCATCACGTTCAACCCGCTCCCTCGAGGAGGAGCAGACGCCTCAAACAGCCGCAGCATCTCCCCAGCCTTGTCCTCCACCTCTGCTATCCCCAGCCTGCTCGCCAATCGGATCCTCTGCGCCTTGTTCGCCTGCCCCTTGGGAATCTCATCCATAAACACAAGCAGCTGCGGCCACTTTGCGGGGTGCAGCAGGGAAGACGCGTGTCTGTGAACTTCCTCCAGGTCCACCCGCGGCATGCCGGGCTGAGGGACGAGGGCTATGGCGACTACCTCCTGGAAGACAGCATGAGGAGCTGAGAAGGCGATCACATCCTTGATCCTCTCGTGCTGCACCATCGCCTCCTCAACCTCGAATGGAGAGATTACTTCTCCTCCTCTGTTGATAATCTCCTTCGACCTCCCCGTCAGGTAGATCCATCCGTCCTCGTCCACGTACCCCCTGTCGCCCGTGTTGAACCATCCTCCCTCTAGGAATGCTTCTCTGTTCGCCTCCTCGTCCTCCTCGTACCCGTTCATGACCGGAGCTCCCTTCAGAGTGATGTTCCCTTCCTCTCCTACCCCAGCGTCCTCCCAGTATCGTCCATGATCCTCACCAGCGGCCCCACGATCTGCCCGCTCGAACCGGGGCGGTCGAGCTGATAGGAGGAGGAAGGAGAAGAGATGGGCATGCATTCAGTCATGCCGTAGCTGGGGAGGACGGTGCAGTTGAGCTCTGACCGCATCCTCTCTGCCAGTGAGGCAAGCAGGCCACCAGCAGCATTTGCCACCATTCTCAGCTTGCTCTTGTGCTGGGTGGGACGGGACGCCTTCTCCTCGAGAATCATGGTGTGCATCGTTGGACCTGCAAAAATCAATCAACAAATCACATCATCTCCATCATCATCATCATCATCGTGATCATCATCGTGATCATCATCGTGATCATCATCATCATCATCATCATCATCATCATCATCATCATCATCATCATCATCATCATCATCATCATCATCATCATCATCATCATCAATATCATCATCATCATCATCATCATCATCATCATCATCATCATCATCATCATCATCATCATCATCATCATCATCATCATCATCATAATTTTCTCTTCCCTTGTACCTGCATAGTACCACGTGATATTAAGAGATTCCATCACATCCCAGAACTCTGATGCATCAAAACTAGACGCGCAGACTGCTCCTCCTCCACTGAGAATCTGAAAAATCCATCAGTCTTTCTCCTCCTCCTCCTCCTTTTCCTCCTCCTTCTCCTCCTCCCTCTCCTCCTACTCTCCCTCCTCCTCCTCCTCCTCCTCTCCTCCGCCTCTGCCTCCTCCGCCTCCCCTTTTATCCTCTTGCTCTTCTCCTCTTTCCTCCCTCCCCTTCCTCACCGGAGCAACGATGTTTCTCAATATCCCCCCTATGTGAAACAGCGGCATCATGTTTATACAGCAGTCTTGCTTGCTGAGCCCCCACGATTCGATAATGCAGGCAGCGCCGACAATGATGGTCTCCAGGGAGTAAGGTACCATCTTGCAGTGAGCGAGTCAGGTTGACGCATGTCAAACTAGCCAGGCAGCACCTTCTTCTTCCCTGATGTCCCTGATGTGTGCAAGACGAGCGCTACGTCATGCATCCTTGTGAAACAAGTCTCTTTCCTCCCTCCTTCCGTCTCTCTCCCCTGGACAAGCTTCAAGGAGAACAACCCGGCTGTCTTGTCGCTCGGGATGATCGCTAGCTGCACCAGTCCAAGGCAACGGCAGAGCTCCTCGTGCTGTGCTCCTTCACTCTCGAGCGAGATGAGGGCCTTGCACCTGGTCCCGCGTACCTCCTGCTCGATCTGCACCAAGATGATCAGCAAGCATCGCAGCAGGAAAAGAAGAGAAGAGTGAAGAGGAGGGGATAGAAGAGGAGAAGCAAGAGGACAAAGAGGGCTATCCAGGAGGAGGAGGAGGAGGAGGAGGAGGAGGAGGAGGAGGAAGACGAGAAGGACAAGGAGGAGGAGGAGAAGGAGGAGGAGGAGGAGGAGGAGGAGGAGGAGGAGGACGATGAGGACGAGGACGAGGAGGAAGACGAGAAGGACAAGGAGGACGAGGAGGACGAGGAGGACGAGGAGGACGAGGAGGACGAGGAGGACGAGGAGGACGAGGAGGACGAGGAGGACGAGGAGGACGAGGAGGACGAGGAGGACGAGGAGGACGAGGAGGACGAGGAGGAGAACTGCTCAACCTCTGAAAGCGTCTGCTGGTAGTTGACCGGCACACAGCAGCACCGCGACATTGCCAGCAGCAGGCATACCGCCAGCTCTGGCCCGTTGGGCAGGAGGATGGCGCACCGGTCCTGCGGGCTGACTCCGAACTTACTGAGATCCTCGTCTCTTAAGAACTGGACAAGTCTGCTGTGGGTAAGAGGAGAACGCTTCATATGCTCGGGGTCTGATATGGCGAACGCCCCGCAGTGTTCTCTCGCCTGGGGCATGAGCTCAAGGAGGGTAGTGACCCCCTTGCTCTTCAGCGCCTTCTTCACGTCCTCTCCTTTCATCCTAGGAACGACCTCCACTGCTCCCGTCTGATCCAGCGCTCTAACGCGTGCCTCTCCTGTCACGACCTCCTGCAGCACATCGAAGATGCTCATCTCTGACCCATCCAACCTCCTCCTCGACACTGTCTCGGCATAGCTTCCCGTCGGCTCGTGCTCCACATCCTCGTCGTCTCTCTTCCACTGGGTGATCGAGCCCTGAGGAGAGGGCATGTCTATCTGCTCTTCAAGGTTTTCCACCTTCACTGGCATAGCGCGTGATCTAGTTCCGCCTGGACATGAAACTGCTCCGCCGGGAGTCCTGTGGAAACAACTTTGTGAGCTTGACGTGTTATGCGATGTTCTTTCTCAGGTAAGCACATCACTCCTGAGATTGACCTCTAACCCTCCTCCCATCAACCTCTTTGTTCTTCTGCGAGCTTCTGCCTCCTCTGATCAACTCTTATCTGCTCCTGTCTTCTCACGTACTCTCCGTATCCTCGATGTCATTCCGTCCCATCCTCCTATACATTCTCCACTCTATATGCTCGCTCATCCGCCCGCTCTCCTTCCTTGCTCCTCTCCCCTCCTCTCCTCTCCTCTCCCCTCCCCTCCCCTCCTCTCCTCTCCCCCCTCTATATCACGGGAAGTTCCTTTCCCCTGATCCACTCGTTTCCGATTGACTCATTGGATTTCTTGGAAGGCGCATGTACCCCCACCCCCTGTAAGCATAAAAACTACCCACCCTTGAATAGTAAAATTCTGAAGAAATTCCACCCCTACCCCTACAACGTACACGATCTTTTATATTTCTCCACTTGTATATGTCACTGCTCAAAAAAGAGAGTACCCCTTCGATGGCGGGGAAAAGGACCCTCCCCTATGTAGAGCTGAAATATAGATAGGAAGATAGGGGTGATCTTGATCTTAAACGGTGTTTCGTCCCAAGGACCGGTGGTACAGTTTTTGAGAGTACGAACTTGGGACTCGGGAAAAATGTACGGGTCCTTGGATGTCAATTTCCTGTTTGAGGCAGTGGGGAAATGAGGGGTAGGGTACCAATGAATTCCATGGAGTGGGGTCCTTTCATTGAGGGGGTGATTTTGCACGGGTAGTTGAGGCCTGGATGCATCCAAGTATGGAGGCATCGGGACCGCATTGCCTCTTCCAATATGAAACGATGCATTTTAACAACGTTTCGAATGTAGTAAAGACTTCATGGGGAGTGTGTGTGGTCATTCAAGTGTCCAGCGAACCTTATCCCCTCAACGCAGAGTAGGGGTCACCCAAGGTACCCCAATTTAAGAAGTCTCCGGACCGGGTATTGATAGCATTGGTCAGTCAGTCATGACCGGTACTACCGGTGGCAACTTACAAAGGTTAAAAAAAAAATGTCATCGGGTCCACCGTGGCAGGTTCAAGGGCTTGAACGGTAAAGTTCCCCGGGCTCCCCGGGCTAGCCCACCCCCTCCCCTCTGCTACATTGGACCGGTCCGAGTACGACCAACAGCGCATGTCTAGAGGCACGACCCCCCTCACGATGCCTCCCATAATGGAGGCACCTCAACCCGCTAAGTTTGATTCGAGGCTATAAATGGGAGCCCGGGGCCCGGGCGGCGGGGGGGCCGCACTGCACGGACCGATCGGACCGTCGGACGGTGCGGCACTGCCCGGCGGCCGATCGGATATCCGACGGTTACTAAAGTTACCGGACAGTCACTCCGGCCGGACTCCGGTGACATGGAGCCCGCTGAGCCCGGCCCTCAGTATTCACAGTGGTGGCAGGGGCGGCCGGTGGCCGATCATCGATCATCCCGGACGCGCGGTGAGACCGTACGGACTGGGCCGGGGGCCCCCGCGTTAGTCCGATACGGTCACCGGGGCACGGAGTCCCCCCGGGGCGTCAGGCTGGCGGCCGGGCGGCCGGGCGGGTGCCACGGACGGTGCACGCCGGTACGGCCCGCCTGAGTGAGGGCCGGACTCCCGGCCGGGGCGGCCGGCCCGGGCGGCCCCGCGGGCATCATGATTGCGATCCGGAGCTGTGAACCGTCAATTCACGGTTCCTGGAGTCCGGGAACTTACGGAAGCCCGGCCGCTCTCCCGAGTCCGACTCGATGATCTTGGCCCGGGCCCGGGCCGGCAGTACAGACGCCGCCGGTACCGGGTACGGTCCCTGCAAACGCATCCGATCCAGGATCCGCCCCCCCAGGCCGGCCGCCAGTCACCATACCGGCGGGCCCGGCCGGCCGGGCGGCCGCAGTAGTCCGACTGAGTACGGTACTCCGTATGTGCACTGCTGCCGCTGTGCAACTGGCCGGGCCCCGGGCCGGGCCATCAACGGTCGCGCCGGGTTCCGCCGGAAGTTCACTCGGAAGTTTCGAGATACTATTGGAATCAATTCCTGACTCCTAGAGTCTGTGCACAGATGAATGACTAGTAGAACAGCTCAACAGCTGACTGATAAGTCCAAAGACCAAGACTCACAGATGATGTGCGCATGAAGACACCAATGACTTTCACAGCCAACCAAACACCTCAGGTAACTCAGATCAACTTCCCAACAATCCCCAGCACTTTATTCCCAACACTCGTAGCAGCAAGACCAACCAAACAGCTTCCCTTCACACACCACCGCCTTACTTCCACCACTGTACGA